ATAATCTCACACTGGTTGTCCAGTTTTTCAAAGGGTATCTTGATATGTTGAGACACACTTTCTCATCAAAGACAAGAATATTTGTGAGTATTTTTTAACAGTCAGACATCCAAATTAGGTTCAGAAAAAGAAGGGACAGTAAGGATCATATTGCAAACATACATTGGATTATGGGATGCATCAAAGAATGCAAAAGGAAACTGAAAAAGGTGCTTTATAGATTACAGAATCTATAGATCATGAGAAATGGGGGCTCATTTTAAAAAATATGGGTGTATCACAGCCTCTGATTGTCTTGATGCATAATCTCAACTCTAGACAAGAGACTACTGTCATGAGCTAATAGGGAGAAACAGAATAGTTTCTCTTGGAATGGAGGACAGACAAGGCTGCATTTAACACCCTCTCCACTTGGTTTGTTTATATTCAGAACATATATGGAAAGCAGGATTAAACGAAGAGGAAAGAGGCATGAAAATTAAAAAATAAGATATGCAGATGACATAATATTGAAGAAAACAGTAAAGTTTTGGAATGACTATTGATGAAATTTAAGAAAGAAAAGCAGAGTTACAGATTACCATTAAGAAAAAAAAATAATGACTACAGACTACATTCACATAACTTTAAAGTGAGCAAGAAAGACATCAAAATAGTTAAAGGTCATGTATACCTTGGCTCAGTCATTAATCAAAATAAAAAATGTAGTCAAGAAATCAGAAGACTAAGGCTTAGAAGGTGAGCTGTGAATGAGCTAGACAAGTTCCTAAAGTGTCACGATATATTATTGAATATTAAAATTAGGATTGTCCATGCTATCATATTTTCAGTTTCTGTGTATGGTTGTGAAAAGCTGGACTGTGAAGAAAGCTGATAGGAAGAAAACTCATTTGAAATGTGATGCTGGAAAAAAGTCCTATGGCTACCATGGACTGCTAGAAAGACAAATAAATGGGTTCTAGAGCAAATCAAACCTGAACTCTCCATAGAAGGCAAGGTGACTAAATAGAGATTTCATACTTTGGATATATAATGAGAAGACATGACTCACTAGAGAAGATGGCTGAGATGAGTTTTAGTTAAAGTCCTGAACAACTCCAGCTGCCCAAATAGACAACAAAATCAGAAGGTTTTAGCAACCAACAAGGCCATCAATCCTGGGAGGAAGAAACTGCAGCCTCAGAGTTTGTCTAATCAAGGTCTGAGATAGCTGCTAACTTAACTAACTCTGAAGGAGAGGTTGTTACAGTTGGTGTCATCTAGTCCTAGAGACCTGTCCTAGAGACCTATCTATGTATTGCACATTGTACCTTCTTCTTTTATGATGAGGTACTGTACTATACATGATCATTGCCAGTGTTACAATTTGCATTGCATACATGAGCCGTTTGTGAAGAAATCTTGTGTAAAAATTACAAAGTGAGAGATATTCCTACAGAATATACTGAGAATTATAAAAATAGACACTATAATAAATATACTCAAGTTAGAGCCAGCAAGGTGTAGTGGTTTGAGTTTTAGACTGTGATTCTGGAGGCTTGGGTTCAAATCCTAGCTTAGCCATGAAAATCCACTGCATAGCCTCAGGCAAGTCACACTCTCTCAGCCTCAGGGGAAAACAAAGGCAAAGCCTTTCTGAACAAAACCTACCAAGAAAACCCTGTGATAGGTTTGCCTAGGACTCACCATGTTAGAAATTACTTGAAGGCACACAAAATGACTTCAAGGCACTTGGTTACAGTGAGTTAAGACTGTAGTATATATATTAAAAAAGAGCTAAAAATGCTGAGTTAAAAAATAAAATAATTATTCTCTTTCCTGAAAAGTATGCTGTATGTATCTACAAAAGCATACTTATGGGAAAGGATGGGAAAGAAATTTACCATTATATGTTAAGAATTAAGGGTTTTAACACAGCCTCAAGTTGAAAACTGTCTCATTTAAATGATATGCTAAATCCAGCACTTATTCTACCTTGGGCAGACTCATTATAATGAATGGAATGTAAACTAGATACAATTAAGAAGCCTTATTCATTTAAATTCTAGTCAGGGCTCATATTGGATTGGCTCATATAATTAAAATCTCTTAAAATATTAACATTTCACTTTTCATCTATAATTGTTCACAAATAACTTTGCAGCTATAATGATGATTATGATAATGAAAATGTGAAACTAGTTGGTCCTACAGAGTTGACTGTGTGAATGGAAGGGAATTTTGCTTTTGCAAAGGATTGGAAACCTATTTAATTCTTTTTTTAAAACACTTGGGGAGAGTGTGACTGTTGCTGAGTGGGTGGGGCCTTGCTGAGTCACATTTGTGAGTCAATAGGGGGTGGAGCTAGTCAATTGGCTCCATACAACTCCTCCGAAGGGCTTTCCAGGAAGGAGAAGAGAGAGGTTCATTGTCTCTATACTGGAAGTGGTACATTAGTGATGATTGATGGACCTAACCTTCCTTTTCCATCTGTGATCCCAATGCACTTCCATTCCTACATATGAGGCTTAGAAAGAGCTTGGAAACATTATCTTTTGTGGCTATAGGTTGCATAATTATGGAAGTTGTAGTTAAGCTTCTCCAAGGTTTAGGAAAAAAAGTTTCCTTTGGCATCGGTGCGCAGGATTGTAATTGGCAAGCATTAAACATTTCCCTGTTTGCTGTAGCCCTGCCTTGTAATTATATTAAACGGTAGTTTCCAGTGATACTTTATGTCATTGTACTTTGACTGCAGGCACAGAGTTTAGCCCTAGGGTTTATCTTTATGTTTCTGATTCCAGTTTCTATTCCTCCTCACACACATTTTTGGTTAACTGTGAAGTCTCATTAAAATCACTTTTTGTCTAGAGCAATTTTAATACAAATCTGAGGGAAGTGCAAAATACAATTCATAACATCATTGGTGGAAGGATAGCCTTGGCAGACTTATGTAGAAGGTACATAGTTGAATGTTTAAAATAATAGCATACATTGAACCATAGATTAATAAATGTGGTAGGGAATTCAAAGGCTGTCCAGTTTAACTTCTGCCTGCAGGAGTGCACAACTAAGGGCTAATTCCCACTTACATTTAACCCAGTTTGTGATTTGCTTTCAAGCCAGTTTGGTGAATCGATTCCAGTCCATGCGTTGTTCCCAGTATGGAAGCAGGTGTTTTCTTTATTCACTTCTTTTTTGACACAATTGTTATTCCCACTAGTTTGTGCCCCTTCAAAATGCCTGTCAATCATCTACGCATCATCAATGATGCAACTGGCAACACATTCAAGAAAACACAGGAGGGAGTCTTGAGTGTCATGGCCATAATCTCTTCTCTCACTAGTATCCCATCCCTCACTAGCTTTTTGGGAAATCCATCATTTCTCCCCCTCCCCTTTCCCAGGACTCAGAAACTTTTGAATTTCTTTGCACCTCCACCACATATGAAATAATGTACCCTTATTTTGCTTACATCTCCAACATTTTCCCTATGTTTTTTTAGTCTTTCTAGAGTTAAATACCATCTAAGGTAAAAGTTTATAATAATGTTCTTATATATTTCTAATAGGTATTAAATACAATAAAATTGAACAAACAAGAGAGATAAATAAATAAGAAAGAATAGAAGTGTAAGGAATTAATTGTAACAAGAAAGGAGAAGGGCAGAAACAAAGAATTAAAGAGAAAGAGTTAAGATGGAGCTGTGTACAGATGAACCCTCCAATGGGGAAGTCATTTATTCTAATTTTTATTTATGCTTAGAAGACAGATAGACCTACAATCAGGATGGGGAGAAGACAAGAACGAAGATTAGGAATAAAAATGACAAGAATCAAGTCTCTTTGTGAAAGACTTTATTGAAGATATTGAACATATTAAGTATATCAAATATGTATATAGAAATAAATGTATAGAAACTAATTATATAGGAAAACACCTTTGTTTATATACTTTTGTAAAAGTTGGAAAAATTGGAAAAGGTGATATACTTGTTCTGATAATTGATGTAATATTCACTTAAAATTCAATAAATAAACAAAACAAAAATGACCAAACTGAGATTGTCATACTTTGGACACATAATGAGAAGAGGAGACTCTTTGGGAAAAACAATAATGATGGACTAGGTGGAGGGAAGTAGGAAGAGAGGAAGGCCACATGCTAGATGGATAGACTCTATTAAGATGGGTATTAAGTGGTTGCACGAATTAAGGAGAGCCGTGGAGGACAGAGGGTCTTGGAGACGTCTCATCCATAGGGTCGCCATGAGTCGAGATCGTCTTGAGGCCAGTTAACAACAACAAAATCCTTTGCAAAGCCTATTTTCTACAATAGTGAACTTACTTAATTGAGGCTCTTTGGTTCTTTGGAAAATAACTTCTTTTTGGCATATTCAACAGATCAAGTGGATTCAAATGGAATTCTAGCTATTTTAGAAAACAAAGAGTTCAGTGTACACCTGTTCCTCATTCATCCTGCCAAATTTTGTGAACTATGATCTAATTATTTATAGTTTCAAAAGCAGATTCTTTATCCTATGTTGCAGAGCAGTAGAGAACAAAACGTCTTGGAGATGTCCCATACTAGGGGCCGCCATGAGTTGAGATCGACTTGAGGGCAGTTAACAACAACAAAATTTCAGAGGAAGGAACTGGCAAAACCACCTCTGGATATCCCTTGCCTAAGAAAACCCTGTGAAACCCTATGGGGTCACCATAAGTGGACAAGCAACTTGAGGGCACATATACACACAAACAGAACTAGAAATAACAGCATGGCAGAGAATTGTCCTTGTTATTCTATCTTACTGAGGTCTTAGGACACAATCTCAAGAGAACAAAGGCTTTAGACTTTTCCAGTTCTGAAAGATAATTCTCCATAAACATCACAAACATACTTGAAATTTACATTCCCAGATTGTCTCAAATAATTAACTGATCATCCATGATTCTTCACATGTGAAAAGGACATAATCAATATATGTGGAGTTTTATCTCCCATTTTAGCCTCACAATTGTATGAAATTGATTAGCCTAAGCAGTGGTGATTTACCTAATAGAATATCATATTAAGATGGAGATTGGAATACAGAATTTGTTAGGCCAGGTGTCGTGCTTCAAACATTTATTCATATTGTGCCCATAATGTCTTGTCTTTATGAGTACTGTTGTGTAGTCACCATAAAATGAAGAGAGCAGTCTATATAGGTTTATTGTCCTATATATAGGGTTGGTATTTATTGTCCTGTTTGTGGAGAATGTTGTTGTAATTAACTTTATTTATACCCTATCTTTTCCTCTAAACTGAGACAAAGGTTCAGTTGCACTGTACATATAAGAAGTCAAAGTTGCTCCATAACATGTTTGGAAAAGTTTTTCCATCTGTGCATCAGGCCTACTACTAAAATGACTACCGTAATTAAGCAACCACACTCCTGGAATGCTCAGAGCACCATCCCAATATAATTAGGATCACAGTGCAGGTGCACACCTGTTTCTAAAAAGTCAATACTTTGTGTTCTTGATGGTTCCTTTTCACATGGCCTTTGCAGACTGCCAGAAATAGTTCAAATTGAGTTCACTTTAAGGGTTAGGGTTAGTGCTAGGGAATCATGGGAATTGTTGTTTTTTTCTGAGACATTGAGCCTTCTCTGTCAGAGAGCTCTGGTGCCACAATAAAATACAGTTCCCATGATTCCCTAACCCTAACCCTTAAAGTGGACACAATTTGCACTATTTCTAGCAGTCTGCAAAGACCCACAGAGGCAATCCCTGCCTATATTGAATGACCTGAAGTAATAGAAGAAAATTTAATAGAGAAAAACTAAAGTGTTTGCTGACCAGACATCAGAGTCACTAAAAGCTTGAACTAATAATTCTATGCACTTGTTTTCTGAAAGAGTAGGAGCAATGACCAAGTATGTGATGTTCTTCCTATTGTTCTTCCTGCTTTTTGTTACTCTCATTTTATAAAACATTCTTAGGGGGGTTGCAGACTGCCAGAAATAGTGCAAATTGAGTCCACTTTTAGGGTTAGTGTTAGTGTTAGTGTTAGGGAATCATGGGAATGTTTTTTTTTTCTGAGACATTAAGCCTTCTGTGTCAGAGAGCTCTGGTGCCACAATAAAATACAGTTGCCATGATTCACTAGCACTAACCCTAACCAACCCTAAAAGTGGACTCAATTTGCACTATTTCTGGCAGTCTGTAACCCCCTACAAAGCAGATTTTGGTGTTGGGAGGATAAAATGGTGTTCCTTATATAATGGCAAAATCAAGATTTGTTTTTGGATATATATAAAGACATGGATGGTTGAATCTGTGGATATGGACAGCCAATTGTAAAAGCAGTTGCTGTGTATCTGTGCCTTCAGCTTCAGGATGCATGGGGAGAGAAATCTGGAGATATTAACTCTAGGACTTTTCCTGAATCCACATGGAAGTGAGTACAGAAGGTAAAAGGTAAAGGTATTTCCCATTGACAAGGTTGTCAAGTCGTGGCTGACCATAGGGGGTGGTACTCATCTCCATTACTAAGCCGAGGAGTCAGCGTTGTCAGAGACTACTCTTATGATCATGTGGTCA